AATCGATCCTCAGGTTCTTAACCCCCATCACGAGTCAAAGAGAAAAAGCGAACACAGAAGTTTCAACCCCGAAGTTGAAAAACAGCGTCGGAGGACAGTTCACCCGGCAAAGAAGCGAATTTTCCAAAACAAAGACAGGAAGGAAGATACAGAGGTTTTGGCCAACACACAGCGAATCTCTAACACACCATAAAAACAGCGGGCACAGAAAGGGTTGCCCGGGCAATAGGTTTTTGAAGAGGGAAAATCTTACTCTGGTTGCCAAGGGCAGCTGAACAATTAAAACCTGGGGTGCAGACTCACTAGCTCCATTTGCTCGGGGAGGGTCAGAGGTGGCAGCAGGGACGGCACCCCTTCGCATCCTGGGGCCCCGCTGCCCCGCCAGCCTGCAGGGTCTCCGAGGGTCCCCACATCTCCGAGGACGGCTGCAGCCTCCTTCTCTGAAGAAATCAGAGCTACTCTCCCACTGCTGAAAATATTTGAGATGTGCCAAGCAGATGGTCCCACGCTTATCAGCAGAAGCCATGCTTCAAATGGCATCATTCAGTGAAACGCTCAAGTGAAAATCTTCACGCTGATCCAGAGTGGGAACGAGCTGGTGAGAATGCGGGGTGGTTGACCCCAGGAGCCGTCGGGGCCAGCCAGGGCTCAGGAGAGAGGTGACCCCGAGAAATGGTCTACGGAAGGGGAAAAGCCTCGTGGGTAGCAGACAGAACCACTCCCCTCCCTGACAGCCTGGAACCAGTCGACTTGTCTCTGCAAAGCTCTGTAAGACCCTGTTTTCTCGCCTGTAAAATGGGGCCAATCCTATTACCACCAAAAGTTGCAATGAGGAAATGAGATGTAGGTGTCGATGTCGACCTGCATAGTGAGGGACACGCCGTTCGGTAGTTGAGTACCCGTTCCGTCCCTACAGCCCATGTTCAGGGTCACAGCCCATGTTAGCGCGCGAGCATGAAGCGGGGGAGAGAGCGCACCCAGGAGATGGGTGCCCAGACCGCTTCTCCGCCTGGTTCGGACACTCACCCCTCCAGCAGCTGTTCCTGTGACATGCTTTCTCACCCCTGCCGTCACGTTACCCTTCCCGCCCGACCCCTGTCCCCTCTCCAACAGCCCCAGTGTAAAGGCCTAAAGTCCCAGCCGGAAAGTTCTGAATGGTTTGACTCGCCCAGCCCTGGCACGAAGACCCACCCTCCACTTGTGGCCGTATTTCTTCCTTGTCAAAAGCATCCGGTCATGGTTACTGTGTCAAAGTAGTGATGGACCCGGGGGACCAATTAGATCGAAACAGGACGAGAAGGCGATTTCAGATTCTGTGGGAAAGCAGACTTGGGAGCCCATGCATGAGGCTTTCCTCTGACTGTTTCCATAAGCAACAGGACTGAAGTGAGCCCTACGGCTCCTGTGGGAAGCCCGACCTGTGGCTCTGTCCCCCCGGGGGGGAAGAAGAAGAAAAGGGAGAGCAGGAGCTTTCCCTGAGGACCTCCAAGCCACGGGCAACACAGGTGAGGTTCGGGGCACCCACGGGCATGCAGCTGCTGAGCAGCTCGGCCCCGGGGAGTCCCAGTGCACTCGCGTTACCTGGTTTTGACGTTCCAAGGGAGGAGAGGGGCAGCCTCCTGAAGGACTTTACGTCTCCCAGAGGATCATCAGAAACTGGAAAGAGACCCGGGACTGCCTAAAACAAACCACAAGGCAGAAAAGAAGGAGCACTCGGTGGGAAGGGGATCAGACAGGCGCAAGCAGAGGTAGTTCGGAGAGAAGTACCGGGCTGCTGAGAAGGGCACAAAGTCACAGTAGGGAAGGAAGAGACGCCCCGAAGGAAGAGAGGAGTGAAGGAGAATGGGGATGGGCAGAAGGACCCACTCTGTTCCTCTGCTCCACATTTGCTGCTTCTCAGAAGCTCAGGGACTGTCCAGATTTTATGAACGTTTCGCCCTGTCCCTACGGGGGCTGTGAAACCCTGAGCAGAGTGACCAACTGGAAGGAAGACTCCAACGTCATGATTTAAGTCAACAGAACACAGGGCCTCACCAGTTGGCTTTTTCCAGCTCCTCACAGAACAGAAGTCTGTCCATGCTGACAGAGAGAACAAGTTGCCCAATTTGTAAGTTGGTGACAGTCTCTGGGTGAACAGGGACCAGGCCACCAGGATGGTGGAGAGGCCAGGGGGTGCCCAGGTGAGGGCAGAGTGGGGCAGGGGCTGGTCAGGGGGAGCCTGGAAGAGAGGGCGCTCTGTCCCCCTCAGACTGAGTGGGTGGTAGGAGGTGCCAATTGTTTTGTGACTAATTGGCACCTCTAACAAAAGCAGGAACCACTGCAGATGGAGCTGGGGTTTCATTTGTGGTAGATAATGATTTCTACTTAGAGAAAATACAGCAACTCTCTGTAAAAATAAAACTGCTTGCATTTAAGCCACAAATAGGTTGGCTATTTCTGTGCCTGGCTTGTCTTTGTGAGTAATCATCCTCCTCTTGAGAGGTAGGGAGAGTTTGGGGGGAGGGAGGTGTAGAGAGAACGGGTAACAGAGCCAACAGAGCCTGGGGAAGTGAAGTCTGTGGTTCCCAACGTCCACTGTGGAAGGAAGTTCTAGCTTTCACCTCCGTGAGCCAAGTCCCACCTTCCAAAGTTCCCTAGAGAAACACCATCCCTCTTTTTCCCAACAAACAACAGGGAAACGTGGCAGAGAGGCCCTTGGGAAGGGTATTAGAGGAACAAGGAAAGTAAAATTTAGTAACCCAGAAGGCCAGAGAGTGGACCCATAAGTGGTAGAACCCAGAAGAGGTAGAACCCATAAGTAGACCCATAAGTGGAACTCACTCAAATTCCAAACCCTCTCAATGCCACGGAGCTCCTGCTCAGTGCTAAACCCAGGGATGCCCTGTCAATTCCACTCACATCCTAGAATGTATTCCTCATCTGGAAGGGAGTCCTCTTTACCCTGGATGTTGAGCTCAGGATGGTGGGGAGATGGCTATCAAGTGCTTCCCCAGAGCCCAGCACTCCCCTTAGAGTTAGAAAGATACAAGAGGGAGACTAACAAGAGGGAGGGTCACTATGCTGAGAGAGAATGGCTGGAGCTGGGGCAGGTGGGAGGGCTCATTTTCATAGGAAGATGACAGACCTCAGAGTCTGCGTTGGAAACAACAGATCTCAGAGTGGCAGACGACTCATTCTGTACAAATTGCCTTGGTTCAGCATTTGGGGGCAGAGCAACTTCAGGTACACTAGAAATTTGGACTTGCAACCTTGACCAGAGTGATGAGTACAAATCTTTACCCCATCTGTTTGATTGACAGGGCTGGCCCCGCCCTCTGCCCTCCAGTCCTGCAAAGGAGACTTCAGATCTCACTGGCCAGATAAAAATCCAAGATAAAGCCCTGAGAACAGAACTCTCCCAGGCTGATCTGAATCCCATTAGCCTCAGGGAATGTTCTCCAGGCTTCTCCTAGCCTGCCCTGTCTGGGATTGGTTGGGTCTCTCCCAAGTAATGATCTTTACTTTCAGTACACAGTTCTTAAATATCAAATCTTAAAGAAAAATGGCTTATTTCTCCCCCATGTCATTTCTTTTCCTGCAAGGAGACAGGCCCATGTGGTGAGGCAGAGACCACAGCAGGTATGACAACAGGGGGAAGCAAACCCACGAGGAAGTTACGGAGGTTGCCTTCCTGGATGAACCTGGGAGGATTAGACCCAGCTGTGGCAGGCGAAGTCCCCAGCCCTGAGTCTTCCCAGACCTCCCACCGCTTCTGGAATCTGCCAGAAAGGAGACTCCTCCCCCTCCACACCACCAGCACCTTTGCAAGGTGATAAAGGAGAATGTGCAGGACTCGAGATGAGGCTGCGTGGGGACATGGGGACACTCCTGTGTCGCTCTCCTCCACAAAGACACACATCTCAGGCAAATTCCCTAATCTGAATAAACGGAGTATCTCCTCATCCTCCAAATCAGCACCTAATTGGCTACACAGACACTTTGCCCTCTAGATTCCTTACCTAGATTGTAATCATGTGCTCTCCCTTGTCCAAACATCATGAAAAAATCCAGTTGTGAGAAAGAATATTTTTGGAAGATTGCCTTGGGACATGGAGTCTATCCACTCCTCTAGATGTTCTAAATATTACCCTGGGTTCAGCCCTGCATACTTGGCCAGCATTGTCTTGGCCCTTCATAAAACTCTAATTTCTAAATTATTCTTTGGAGATATTCATCAGCTAGCATTTAGAGGCTCTATAAAAAAAAAAGAGAGAGAGACATAAAAAGATCAAAACTGTGTTCATGTAGGATCTGGCTAGCAGCCTTCCCACCAGACCTACAGTCTCCTCCTAGAGCTTTCTGCATCAGGAATAGCTGAGCTTCTCCTAAGCAAGCAACCAATTTGTTTATGTTAATAGAATACCATCAAGTGTGTGATTGGGTTTTTTTTTCGTTTCCTGCTGGAAAGCCTGAAGACACATACTTGACCTGCTTTTAAAGTGGACCACAGGGCTACTTAAAAGAAAAAATGTTTGAAATCACTAACTGAGTCGGAGGTCCACGTGGGCACCATTAAACTTGCATTCATTATCCCTTTTCTGGTCCTGACTGCAGATTTGGACGATGCTTTTTTACCTACAACGTCCTGAAGGAGACAGAAACAAGTCACTTCCAAATGACAGTAACTTAGGTATTGGGATACCACAGGTAGCTAGCTTACATACCAGTGACTGGACCTGTGCAGAGAAGTGTTCTCTAAATACTGTGGTCGCACCTATTAAATGACATTTTCCGAGTGACTTGTTTACGTGTCCATTCTCCCCACAAAACTTAGCTCCTTGAGGCAGAGGCGATGCCTTACTCATTTAGTATTAGCTGAGCAAAAGAACAAACTGAATAAATCAACTCTGTTTAGAATTGCTACCACAATTCCAAATCTTGGTTGTTTTATGATTGCTTTATAATGGTTATAAATGGTTAAAATGGTTATAAAATTGTTTTATAATTTCTTGGGTATTCACCTAGTTTTCCCGATAGACTGCAAGTCACTGGGGAAGGAGCTGGGCTTCCCTGTGTGGGCCATACGGGGCTGAGAACACTCCAGGTGAATGCTGTCGGACAGTTTGACAGGTACTGGGCTCCGTGTGATGCCGGTGGGGCCCCAGGTTGATGTTTTGCTGAAACCGTATCAGACAAAAATAAGTATCCAGCCTACGACAGTGTAAAGAGACAAAATAAGTAAAGTCAACCTTCTTGATTCAGGCCCAACTTTAATCATTGTTCAGGGTAAAGGGGAAAGTACAGTCAAGTTCCAGTGATTCAGACTGGATCCCTGGTACGTGGCTCTCCAAGCCCTTGACCTGCTCTAGCCTTTGGTCTGTCCTCGTCCTGCAGACCCATCACCATATAAAGCTGAGCCGGAGAAACAAGGGAAGGGTAAGCCCACCATACTCTTAGGAGAATGTGCGGGAGAGGGAGGTTGTACTATTGGCCAAAATGAGATTGAGGGGTTTTCAGTATGTTCCATTGAACATTCTCTCCTCTCCCGGCGCTCTGATGACATGGACATGTGGGTGGGTCACTATCCTCGAGTCAGAAGATGCAGGGGTGAATGGAGTGGTACAGAAGGGGATCCCTGAGTGCTGAGAGGAAAGGTATGGATAATGAAGGAAGCAGAAGGCGTCCAAACACAAAGCAAAAATGAGTGACCACTGAGAAGTGCACCTCCATCCCCCAGGGACTCCATGCAGCCCACAGGGAGAGGTCGGGGCAATGGGCAGAGACCTGTTGATATAGGTCCCGTTCAGCCCAACCTAGGTTTATGTCATCACTAATCTGTGTTACCTTCAAATCCCTTAAATGGGCTGATACTCTGAAACTGTAAAAAGGAATAACCTGAGGTGAAGTTCTGGAAAGTTCTAGGATCAGAAGTCTTTCCTGACCAACTCCACAGACACAGATCCTCCGATACTGTGTTCTCCCTGCACCTGGGCACACGGTCTCGACAAGATGCCATGCTGTTTGACTCATTGCTTCCCCAGGGACGAGGGGCCCTCCCTGGGATCTGCCTTGCTAGCGACGAAATTTGAGGTGTTTTCTCCTTTAGCACATCAGGCAGCCTCAGAGCCAGTGACACCTGACTGCCTGCCATGGCCTGAAGGTGGGTCTTCATGTGCTGCGCTCTGGAGGCTGGCCTGCTTACGCTGTTTGAACCCCAAGCTGCATCAACAAACAATCGGTTACACATACAGGGAAGCCTTGCTCCCCGTATCCACCTCCAACCAGACCTTAACATGGTGAGTTCCTGCAGGTAAGGTAGGGGCTGGGTAAACGTTTGCACAGAGCAGGGGAAAGGGAAGGAACGGTGGGGACAAGCAGGCCCATTACCACCACAGGCCTTGTGTTCACGCTGTCCAGGGTTTCAATTTACTTCACCTGCAGAGTCCTCAGGCAAGTTTCTTAACTTCCCAAAGCCTCAGCTTCTTCACCTGTAAAATGGGGACAATGTCATACCCCCTTCATCAGGCTGTGTGGGCATTAAACCGGGAGATGCAGGAAGTCTCCTGGAAGTGTTCATAACTCTTAGCTGTTTTGTTCTTGTTGCTTCTGCGGCCATAGTGGGCATGGTCAGTGTGGCTCAGAGGATGTGGCATTTAAAATTCAACCTAAATTTTCAGTAAGTCAGTTAGTTGTTCTTGAAATACAGACTATAAAAACTAGGGCTTAGCAAAGTCTTTTTAACTGATGGGATGCAGCGAAAACAGAATGGGAAAGCATGGTAGGTGGCATGGTTTTGGGTCCCTGGGGCCACTGTCACAAAGTACCACAAACTGGGGAGCTTCGAACCACAGAAATGGATTCGCTCGCAGTTCTGGAACTGGGAGTCAAGGTCAAGGTGTTGATAGTGCCATGCCTTGAATCTCTGGAGAGAGAATCCCTCCCTGCCTCCTCCAGCCTTCTGGTGGTCCCTGGCGCTCCGTGGTGATCCGTGGGGATATGTGGCGATCTGTGACTGTCTGTGGCTTATAGCTGCATCATTCCAATCTCTGTCTCCAGCGTCACATGTCCTCACATGGCTGTCTTCTTACGGAGACACCAGTCACATTGGATTCCGTCATCTTAACTAATTATGTGTACATTGACCCTATTTCCAAATCAGGTCACGTTCTGAGGTACTGGGGCATTACCACTTCAATATATATTTTGGGGGCCCACAACTCAGCTTGAAACAACTGCTATCCAGAGTTGAATTTTACTGCTCTGCCACATTCCGGGATGATATTGGAAAGTGTTCTTCGGCCACTGCTTCGGTAACTCCGGGGCACCAACACCTCTGTTCGGGGGTACAGCGTGTCCTGTGTGCCGTGAGCAGCCGTCCTTGACACCGGGACGCTCTGAACCCCAACCCAGCCCTCCGCAGCTGTGTGCTCAGGGAAAACAAAGGCACTCTAATATTATTGAAAAATCTCACGTGTGTGGTGAGGGCTGGTGACTAGGGAGAAAAGGGATTTGTGAAGAAAGAAAGTTGTCCTCCTTTGCTGCCATCCTTTTAAGCCGTTTCTATGGAAATGATCATCGATGGATGAGTGGATAAAGAAAATGTATATATACACCACATTTACATACATACCACATTGATATTTATATATGTACACACACACACACACGCACACATATACACACACACAGTGGAATATTACTCACCCATAAAAAAGAAGGAAATCTCGCCATCGGCAACCGCGTGGATGGACCTCCACGTGGGCATTATGCCAGGTGAAATAAGTCAGACAGATAAAAACAAATACTACATGATCTCACTTATGTGTGGGGAAAAAAAGCCAAACTCATAGAAACAGAGAATTGGTGATTGCCAGAGGCTAGGGGTGAAGGGTGGACAAAATGGGGGAAGGAGGTCAAAAGGTATAAACTTCCAGTTCTGAGATAGTTAAATCCTGGGGATGTAAAGCAGAGCAAGGTGACTATAGTTAACAATATTGTAGCATACATTTGAAAGTTGCTAAGAGAATAGATCTTAAAAGTTCTCACTACAAGAAAAGAAATTGTAACTACGTATGGTATGGATGTTAAGTAACCTATGGTGATGATCATTTTGCAATATATACATATATCAAATCTTACGTTGTACACCTAACACTAACTAATGCAATGTCATGGGGCACCCAGGTGGCTCAGTCGGTTAAGCATCCGACTCTGGATCTCAGCTCAGGTCTTGATCTCGGGGGTTGTGAGTTCAAGCCCCACACTGGGCTCCACGCTGGGTGTGGAGCCTACTTTAAAAAAAACAACAACACTAATGCAGTGTTAAATGTCAATTATATCTCAATAGAAAAGTGTCTGGTGGTCGCCAGAAGGGAGGTGGATGGGGGGATGGGTGAAATAGGTGAAGGGGGTTAAGAGGACACTTATCACGATGAGCACTGAGCAATGTATAGAATTGTTGAATCATTATACTGAACACCTGAAACTAATATAACACTTCATGTGAATTATACTTGAATTTAAAAAAAGATGACTTCACTAGCCTTGGATTTATACATAAATATAACATACTTACAAAATATGTATATATAAATATAATATAAATCTAAGCAACTACTAAAACAGCTATACCAAAACACTACATATAAAATAAAACGTAGTTCTGGGCGCCTGGGTGGCTCAGATGGTTAAGCGTCTGCCTTCAGCTCAGGTCATGATCCCAGGGTCCTGGGATCGAGTTCCGCATCGGGCTTCCCGCTCCTTGGGAGCCTGCTTCTCCCTCTGTTTCTCTCTGTCTCTCATGAATAAATAAATAAAATCTTTAAAAATAAATAAATAAATAAATAAAACGTAGTTCTAAAATGTGTTCAAGGAAGTCACATGAAGGGACTAAAGAGAAAAAAACAACTATAAGAAAGTGAGGGAGAACAAAGAAAGAATGTTTGCATCTACATCTTGAATAGGGTGGTGGTTATACAGGTGTGTGCATTTTCTTAGCAGTCGTCAAGCTGTGTAACTGTGTTATTTTTTTGTATGTAAATTATATACCCATTAAAAAAAATTTTTTTTTTGAAACTAACACAAAAGCAAAATGTCCTGAAATGAGAAAGAGTGAGAGGATAGAAAACTCAGGCGTAACCTGATTACACCCTGGGCATTTTATTTTTTTTATTTTTATTTTTTTTAAAGATTTTATTTATTTATTCATGAGAGACAGAGAGAGAGAGAGAGAGAGGCAGAGGGAGAAGCAGGCTCCCAAGGAGCAGGGAGCCCAATGCGGGGCTCGATCCCAGGACCCTGGGATCATGACCTGAGCCAAAGGCAGACGCTTAACCGACTGAGCCACCCAGGCGCCCCACCCTGGGCATTTTAGCGGATGGCTTTGCAGTACACGTAGTGTCAATGTATAAGCTGAAGAGCTATAGAGAGGCTCTATTTTGTCCTCCCTCAAGCAAGGATCGGATCTTTCCCTTTATCAGTCTGAAGATGGCCACGTCTCCCGCTCTGCTCTGGAGGACTGTGGAGCAGGGGGCCAACCCCTCGATGGGGGGGCAGCATTGCTGGAGGAGTCCGGCCCAGATGGACAAGAGCCAGGCTGCGCTGTGGACAACACCAACCTCAGGGGCCATTAACAGCAAGAAGCAGTGGCCCCCCCCACCCTCCAGCACACGCCCCCCCACCCAGCCCTGCACCTCGCCGGTCCACGTGGCTCTTCTCCCCCTTCTTCCCAGCCCCTTAGCACATACCCAGTCACAGTCAGTGGAAAAACGGCTCTGCAAGGACGTGCCTGATTCTTTCCATCTTGGCAAACTGCAGCCTCTTTTTTTCCCTGCAACTGCCTCCAATAATTGAGCAATGCAGGCAGGGGGCTGGGGAGGAGCCTTCAAGGTACAATGGCGAGGAGACGGAATATTGGAAATATTAGAACCTCTTGGTGCCCTATGCCTGGTTTCCCTCCGCAAGAGAGGAGCTGGGACTCTGTCTCCAGTCTGTTTCTCCAGCAAGATGTGTCCCCATGCGCCATCACGCACACACACGTGTCCACCCCACAGGACAAAGGGCTCGTGGCCCTGCCCTCTCCCACAAGCACTCCGGCTGCCACTTCTGGAAGCCGTCTCCCCCACGGCAGACCCCTGCTAACCTCTTTGAGCCTCGAGTTTTCTCGAGCTCCCTGCAGGAGTGAGCATCCACACACCCCACCCCCCGCCCCGCTGCAGCCCCACCCATGAGGAATCCTGACACGACAGGACAGCCAGTGGAGAAGGCCGCTCACCCCGGCCGTCAGCCTCTGTGTCAGTCCCAGCGAGCAGTGACATGAGGGGACCACCGTCACCCCCACCGCAAAGATGACTCCCTACTCCTACCCCGAGACCCACCTGTAAAGGCCCCCTTGACTAGGAAATGCAATTCGATGCAGGTTCAAGTCTCATTATCAGACAGATGGACGTGAAACCTGCTCTTTGGAAGACCTCTTACTCTGCATGTAATTTTCCATGTTAAAATGTACCTATCATAAAATTTAACATGTTACCCATTTTAAGTACCCAATTCAGTGTGCTAAGTACATTCATAGTGTTGTGCAACCACACGACCCTCCATCTCCAGGACGTTTTTCATCCTCCCAAACGGCAGCTCTGTCCCCACTAAACAGGAACCCTGCGTCCCTCCCTCCCCTCGGCCTCTGGCAAGCTCTCGTCTTCTGGCTCTGAGTCTGACCACCCGAAGCGCCCCCCGTGAGCGGGAGCATGCAGTATCCGTCCCCCTGTGACTGGCTTATTTCGCTGAGCCTGATCTCTTCGAGGTCCGGCCACGTTGTCTCATGTGTCGGATTTGCTTCCTTTTTATGACTCCATGAGGTCCCATCGTACGGAGCGGAATGTGTTCGGAACCCATTTTCCCCATCCACTTATCTGTCGATGAACTTGGGTTGTTGGAGGATGTCCTTCTTCAGACTTGCACTGGGGGACTTGCCTAAACAGCCTTCTTTCCCTCTAGTTTTTAGGACCCCTCTCAGAAGCAACTGGGGCACCCAGAAGACGCTGCCGGGACTGCCGGCCCTAAGCCACGTGTGCGCCCAGGGACCTGTGTCAGGGAGGTCCCTGAGCTGCCAGTGACAGAAACGGCCTCCAGCTAACCTGAATAGAAAGGGGGTTTATTAAAAGGATATTAGCTAGCTCACAGAATCTCCAGGACAAAAAAATCCGGGCTCAGTTAGGATGCCAAAAACAACTGCGTGATTGCTAAAATCGTGCGGCAGCTTTAGCTCCATCAGGACGGGGCTGCTCGGCCAAGCCTCAGATGATTCAGCGGCGCCGTCACCAGCACGGGCCTGCTGCCCTGGGCTCGGGGTCTCCCTGGCCACCAGCCACCCCCACCAGAGAGAGGGCGTCAGGGAGGCCGCTCCTGGTGAGGGACAGGGCCAAGTGCAGGCAGAGAAGAGGGCTGGGCCACGGCCCGCAGCCAGCTCGCCCCGCGCCGCCAGGTCCCCACACGGAACTCCAAGGAGTCCAAAAATTCTCGACCCCAAGCTGGCCTTCCAACTGTGCCGAAGGTGCATTTGTCAAGGGAGAAGCACAGAACGGAGTTAACAGTGCAGCAGCTTGGTGCGTGTGCTAAGACAGACATAACGTAAAACTGACTTGTTAACCTTTTTCAGGGCACGGTTCAGCAGCATTAAGGAGAGTCACACTGTTGGGCAACCACCACCACCAACCGTCTCCAGAACTTTCTCATCTTCCCAAACAGAAACTGTATACAGTATTTGTTCTCTGCTCTGGCTTCTTTCCCTTAGCAGACTCTTTTCCAGGTCCGTTCCCCTCGTGGCCTGGGTCTGAGTTCCCCGAGGCTGAATCATACTGAGCACAGGGAACATACCACTTCGTTTATCTGTTCTTCAGGCCACAGACCCTCGGTTGTCTCTGCCCTTTCGCTGCTGTGAGCAATGCGGCTGCGAACATGGCGTGGAGTCCCCGCTTGCGGTTTTGGGGGGTATAGTCCAAGCAGTGGAACTCCCGGATCGAGTGCTGGTCCCATGGGCAACCTGCTGGGGAGCCGCCACGCTGTTTTCCCCAGGGCTACGCCATTTCATGGGCCCACTGGCGACGGCTGAGGGTTTGGATCTGTCCGCAATCAGATTCTCAGCAACGCTTGCTGCTGTGTGTGTTTTGGGTACAGCCAGCCTCGTGGCCATGGAGGGTAGCTTGTTTGGGGACGTGCAGATAGTGAGATGTAGAGTGTGCATGCTCCCCTCTGAGCCCAGAGTCACCAGGGCTGGGCCTGTTCTCACCAGTTACGTTGGAGAGTGGGTTAGCTTCCTAGAGGAAGAAATCACCACACACTGGGGGGCTTAAAACAATAGAAATGTATTCGCTTACAGTTCCGGGGGCCAGAAGGTACCAGCCGGGCCCTTCTCCCGCCCTGAGTCCCTAGGGAAGGGCCCTTCCTTGCCCCTTCCGCCATCTGCTGGCTCCTAGTGTCCCTTGGCTTGGGCCGCATCCCCAACCTCTGCCTCCGTCTCCACGGCCTCCTGCCCCGGGTAGGAGGGATCCTTAGCCTCGGCACCCCAACAGTACTCGTCTCTTGCAGTTTAAATAGTTTCTTTCAGGCAGGAAGGCAAGAAGACTTTCAGTTCAGTTGTTTCGAACACCCGCCCCATACAGAGCCGTCCCTCCCTGAAGAGCCCGTTCCTTCCCTCCCCCTGCAGAGCCCAGGCAGCATTGGTACAAGGCGGCTAAGGGATCCCGTGGCCTTAGGGGTGACGTTGAGTAGGGTCCTAGGAGAGGCAAACACCAAGGTGGGACGGTATCTGGGGCACTCTGCCCCATAAGAGCAAACAGCAAGTGGGCGGCAGGGGGAGAGCTGCCAGACCTCAGCGCAAGCCTGCTCCTGCCTGCAGCAGGGGGAAGATGGTTGGTGGCCGTGGCCTGGCCCGCCTGTGGACCGGGAAGTTTCAGCAAGGCCGTTGGAGCATCCCTGAGCGCATGACGGCTGTCCGTGCAGTCCCGTTTGCCCCAGCATCCTGTATGCGGCTCCGCCTTTGCCGGGAGCGGCCCCTGGCGGTGAGGCCTCAGGGCCCGGCCACCACCACCTCTGGGCTCCCCCGAGCTCCCCCCGACGCCCGGGCTGCTGGGCTCTGGGCCTCGTCAGCACCTTCCTGGCCTGGCTCTGGCATGTCTCCCTGCCCCGCTCCACCTCTACCCCAGCAGGACGTTCTCAGCCCACAAATGAAGCGGGAGGTCACACCAGGCTGGTCAGGCAGGATGCCCCGGGGCCCCTCCACCCAGGCTCCCAGACCGGAAGCAGGGAGAACCACCTCTCCTGCACCTAATCAAAGCCCCTGGGCTCTCCACAGCCTGGGTCTGAGCACCACGTCAAGCATCCCACCTTCGAGCCTTTGTCCCCAACAGGGACTTCATGACCAGCATCAGCCCCTGAATGTCCAGTCTATCTTAAAATAGACGCTCCGTGTCCTGTCCTCCAGGCCAGAGCTAATGATATCTACAGCACCCCCAAACAGCCCCCAGGAAGCCAGTCCTTCAAGCATCTCCGAAAGCTTTTTTAAACTGGTTTAAACCCTAGCGTGAGCAATGATGTCTGTCTCAGGCAGAGGAAGAGGGACACAAGTCACAAACTCTGCTGAGAACAAAAACACATCAAAACATATTTCAGA